TGAGAATTTTAATCAGTAAATTGTCTTATTTGTCTTGAGACTGCTGTGTAAGAGACTAATATATTTTTGAGAAAGGAGGGGGAGCTTTACTTTTCAAAATATTTTGTAATTTAGAGAATTATTTTTGCTTCTTTTCATTGCAGAGACACTTTGAAGAAGGGAGCTTAAAAAGCCTGTTAGGTTGGGAGCTCTGCATTTGCTTAGTTAGAGCACTTGCATCATAACCAACACCATAGATTTTATGCATTATAAGTTTTTTCAGTCACAAGAACTGTGTCTATGTAGTTATAAAAGGGCTTTTTGTTAACCTTAGTTGTGTGTGAAGTGGAAAATGCAATTGCATCGGGTCAGTTATTGTGCTGAGAAACACGTGGCAGGAGTTGAGCTGTGGTACACCTTCAACAGAAGCTTTACACCTTAAAAAGCATCTGGAGACCCACAGCTATTTACCAGAGAGCTTATGTATGTCGTGCTTAGGAGCCAAAAATATAATGCCTGAACTTCCTAGCAGCCAAATTGGGGTTGGTGCCAGAGTTAAAGGTCATTTCCGATGATAAAGAACTGGCTGGTTTTACACAGCCTCCCCTTATCCAAATAGGTAATTGCTGCATTAGTGCATTTTTCCCTCTTCTCTCCATTAGCAGGCTTGCTGCTTTAATGTTCCCTGCCATATATTTTTTCTCCTGTAATCTTAATGTTTCACACGCAGTGCTTGACTCTCAAGGTTAGAGTTACTAGAAGGGGGCAGGGAGGTGGGTGTAAGAGATGTGGAATATTTAGAAACTTGCAGTTGGAATGTCTTGTGGCTAATCAATGGTGTCAGCCACGAATTTAAGCAGTGCAAAATTTTCTTGAATGATCCTATTGCCAAAACGCTCTAAAGTCTGGGATTATATTTATATCCTGTGTAAGAATAAACCAAAATAAATTATGTGGGTGCCACAAGAGGCCGCATACTTGCTGTGTTAAAATAAAGAGCTGATTATAAATCTAGGGATTACCTAAGTGAGTTTCAGGGAGAACCTAATAAGAGCTTTTTCAGAAACTGGCTCCTTTTAAAATGAAGGGCTATAAATCACGGTGCATTATAAGATCTTTTCCCTTAATTATATTTCTGCTTCAATATTAAATTGTAAATTTGTCTTTTTAAGAAAAGTATTTCTCTGTAACTATAATGCTCATCTCTTTTCAAGGCCAATCTAGAATGCAGACTGGAATATCTGTGTTACTGGAAGTGTGAGAATTACCAGGAGAAGTGATTTTAAGGGCACAGGTCTGCTTTGTTGTACTGGAATTCAGGTCAAAGATGCTGGTAATGAGGAAAAAAATTTGATATGCTGGATGATATGTAAAAGGTGGTAGTTTGGGGGTTTAACAAACTGCGATTTCCAGGGGAGTGAAGAACAGGGTTAGCTGTCTTTTCATTAAAACAGTGAAACCATTCCAGATGCCAGTCACAGCCATCTAATCCCATTGTGAAACTCGGTTGTATCCGAGATCTCCTCCTAAGAGTGGGAGATTGAGGATACTGCGGAAGCCTGTGCTTCTCTGGAGTGGCTGCTCCAGGGCTTCCTCCCAACTAGGAGAAGGATATATTTGAGTACCTGAACCTCTTCTGTCCAGCATTAGAGTATTTCAGCAGTAGAATAAAATGATAGAAGCTGTTTGTTACTCATTTAGCCCAGAAAAGGAATATGCTGCTACCAAAATACATAGCTCCCCACCTTACATTAATGATTTTGTGTTCGTTAGGATCACAGTTTAACGTGTATGTTTCTATCATGAATTATGGCAACACTGTTGAGTTTGATGTAGAGTTTAAACTTTACAAATGCTAGGTGTAACACAACCTATACGGATAAAAATTTATGTGGAAGCACAATAATGCCATTATTATTAAAAAAAAATTAAAAATTTTCTGGAACTCAAATGGTGATTTCAGTGCAATAGAGAAAAGCTTGCTTAAATTATTTAATGTCTCCTTTAAATAGAATAGTATAAGTAAATTCTGATAAATTCTACTTTATCGATAGTTCTTCATCAACATGGAATTTTGAAAATACCTTTTGTTTAGCAGTTGGTATTATTAAAAAAAGAAAAAAGGCTCTTGATAAACTTACTAAATACTTCAAAATTCTACCAACAACAACCTGGAATTAAAAGAGTAAATAATATTTAACATAACTAAAACTCTAAAATTGTAACAGTTACTGCAAATCACCAATGGAATTTTAAAATACATTTTTTCCAAAGCTTTTCTGTGTAATGTGTGCATCTTTGCCTTTTCCTTATTTGCTCCTTTTCAACCTTTCCTGTTACTGACTTGGGTTTATCTTTTCTCCCTTTAGAGAGTTTTGAGGTGACAGTCACCAAAGAAGGTGATAAAGGGTTCTTTCTATCCCTTTTATGAATATTAACCTACTAACTTTGGTTATGAAATGGGGAATCAGCACTTAAACAGAAGATCCTGTCATGTTCTTTTGTCCCATTTATTCTCCCAGTTTTTTTCTATTTTAAAATATATTGATTAAAAACTGTTATGTAACCAAACCCTTGGTTAGAAATATCTGTAAATCAGACATCCATTTGAACCATTTGGGATTATTGTACATTTTATGGACACTGAAGAAGTTCATTTTGGGGAAATTAGCATTTTCTGATATTTTCACTGATAGTTTACTTCTTTGGGACATCTTAATTGTTTTCATATGCTTGGTAAATTAATATTTAACTACCGAAGCATTGTAACACCTTCCCTGCAGTACAATTTCATTAGTACCTACTTCAGTAGTTTAAAATCTGAATCAAATACCTTTTTTTAATACCTCTAGCCGTGTTTACAGTAGGAGTGCATTCGTGGTGCTATGATACCACTGCAACTGTAAGAGCAAAAGAGTCGTTTATGTTGGTGTGAGAAAATCACCTTCAGACCGTAACAAGTGAAAGAGGTGAACCCCCAGTGTAGGTGATGGAACTGGGCATGGAGTGGCTTTAGTTAGCACAGCGAGGTGTGCTGGGCTCCCTCCGCGTAACGGAGCTCTCGGAGTGAGTCTTAGGCTTAGATGGGTTTTAAGGGGATGTACTAAGGACTTCTCTCGCAAGTTCGTTGGGATGAAGAGTTGGCAGAGAAAGGAGAGCCTACTAAATCCTTCCACGTGAGAGCTGCTTTGAGTAACACGTTTGCTCTGTGTTAGTAGATAGCAGTTGAAATGGATGCCTGAAAAGTTGGTATTTCTACCTTTCTCATTCAGTAGTTTATTTTGATTCCCTAATTTTAGCCAGGTACATTGCACAGGAAGACTTTGTTCTTTGATCTGTTGACAGAATTTCTGTAATTATGGTGCTGAACCTGTACTCGAAGCTTTTTCATCCCTTGACTTGTAACTGTGCATTTTAACCTTTTGCTCTGGTCAAAACAAACAAGCTGCCCAGCTATTCCCAGTAGCTTGGCATAGAAGACGTTACCAGTGGCCTTGGCTGTATGCTCTTATAAGATCTACTTTTACCCTAGAGCTATCTCAAGTACTCCTGTGAAATGCCTGTCTACATTTCTCTTTTTCTCTTTTGTATTCCTGCATGAATGGATGCAAAGTAAACAAGTTGCTTGGAAGGCAGACGTATGCTTCTTTTTTACTAAAGTTCCCAGAAATCACCCATTTTAAAGCACAACGCTCTTGCTTTGTCCACAGACCCTCACAAACCCTTGGCTGCAAAATATTCGGTCATTTATTTTTAAAAAAACATGTAAGAATTTTGACCGGTTCTAACCTCTCTTACTTTGAATCTGTAGGTGAGATCTGTGGATTTAAAATTCACGGGCAAAATGTTCCCTTTGAAGCAGTGGTGGTGGATAAATCCACTGGTGAGGGAATAATACGCTCTAAAGAAAAGCTTGACTGTGAACTGCAGAAGGACTACACCTTCACCATCCAGGCCTACGACTGCGGGAAGGGGCCAGATGGAGCCAACGCAAAGAAATCCCACAAGTAAGTCAAGCTGTGGGGGGCTGAGGGGAAGTTTGGTGTCAAGCCATCTCCTGCTCGTAGTGATTTATGGTCGTTGTGTATGTAAATGGAAACCAAGTGTGAATGCTGGAAGACTGTCATGTAACGGTAGTATAAATAGCAGCAAAATGAAACTGTTTTGACATCTCTTTAGCTGTATTGTTGATGATACTGATTTATCCCTTGATGTCACTGGGTTTACATTAGAAAAGAGTGTGGGGACAGAAGCAGGAAAACTGTTGATACAGTTAAAATCTGGCTTGAGTCGACAGAAAGAGTTTGCATGGGAATTCAGTTGGTAAAATCGAAAAACTGGTTCAAGAAGTCAATCTATATTAATCTTGACAAAATGGAAAAGAATGCATATTGCCCTCATTTCTAGCCAGGCTCAGCAAAAAAAAAGCAAGATCAATAGCATAAGGCTCTTCTCTGCCTAGATTAAAGAATGGGAACAAAGCAATCTTTAGCTAATCTTTATCTAAAGAAAAAACCACAACGTAAAATGCTCTGTAGAAAATCTACTTGAAAATAACAGTTTAACACAGTGGTGTAAACATCTGCAGAGCATGTGGGAGATGACTGTTTGGGAAGCAAAGAAGGGCATAAGTAAGTGAGGAACAGACTCTCAGCACTCGTCCTGGTGCCTCACACAGTGTCATTACTCTAGAGCTGTGTGCTTCAAATACACAGCAGAAAGTTATCTCCTTAAAGATTATGCTTATGGAAAATAGGTATGCCCTTAAGCTCCATTTTATATTCAATGTGTCTTTTGAAGAAAGAGTTCAAAGAGAAAGATGGCAGCGAATGTTTTGTTGGGTCGGCTGGAATTAGGTTCTTTGTTGAGTTTGATAGTGTACAGTTCCTGCTCTGCACTGGAGAGTTACCTATGTATTTTTCTACCTGCCTTGGTTAATGATGTTGGCTATCCATAGTCATGGCTGCTAGAGTACAGCTCTAGCAGCGTGCTCTGCTCTGTAACTCTCCTTTCCCCACAGCAGAATGATGGGTTTCCAAGATCTACATCTACAAACCACTGTTGAAATTTCTCTGCCCCATGACTGTTGTGGTTTTTTGTGGCTTTTAACCATCTTGGAGTTTAGCTCTTAAAGTCAGGAATATAAAACGTGTTTGGTACAGAAGGCCATTTTTTGTTGCGTTTATTCAGCATGTAAGATAAAATAAAACCTTAAAGATTTTATATACATATTTTATTTTTTTTTTTAGCATAAGTTCAGTTTGATAGTGTACAGTTCCTGCTCTGCACTGGAGAGCTACCTATGTATTTTTCTACCTGCCTTGGTTAATGATGTTGGCTATCCATAGTCATGGCTGCTAGAGTACAGCTCTAGCAGCGTGCTCTGCTCTGTAACTCTCCTTTCCCCACAGCAGAATGATGGGTTTCCAAGATCTACATCTACAAACCACTGTTGAAATTTCTCTGCCCCATGACTGTTGTGGTTTTTTGTGGCTTTTAACCATCTTGGAGTTTAGCTCTTAAAGTCAGGAATATAAAACGTGTTTGGTACAGAAGGCCATTTTTTGTTGCGTTTATTCAGCATGTAAGATAAAATAAAACCTTAAAGATTTTATATACATATTTTATTTTTTTTTTTAGCATAAGCATTATATTGGTCATTGACAGAAACTGTATTATTTTCCTGTTCTCTGCATACCAACAGTCAGTGACAGCTGTGAAAGGATGGGATCCAAGACCCAGTCTGTTGAGGATTAGCTGTACGATGTGTTACAGCACGTCTTCTGCATCTGGGATTCTGCCATTTAAATTATCTGATATCTCATTCCTGCATCCAAGAATTAAGCCAGTTTTCACTGACTTACACAGCTCAGTACTTTATTAGCAAAAGAAAGCTAATCAAATGCACTTGACTGAGTTCTTAGTCTAAGACTGGTCTTAACTGTCATTCTTGTTCACATGAAGTAAAAATTGGGTGTTTTATGTCAAATACACTTGACTGAGTTCTTAGTCTAAGGCCGGTCTTAACTGTCATTCTTGTTCACATGAAGTAAAAACTGGGTGTTTTATGTCTGACAGCAGGAAAGAGCGACAAGGATTGTACTGTTTTAACAGAAGTAAAAGCCTATTTTGTCACCGCTGTATTTTGTTGTATTTCTGTAAAATGGCAGCAATTTAAAAGGGTTTGATTATTGTTTGCAAATAAACAGGAATAGTAAGCAGTAACCTAGAACTACACTGAGTTACATAGTGACACACTGGAAAACCAGCCACTGCTTTCCTAGATGGAGTAGTTGAGATTGCTGCTTTCATTAGTCACTGATACTTCTTTCAGGGAGCTTAAATTCTGAAGGATAACTTAATGTTTAACAGAAGGAGCTGTTTTATCAGATTCCTTGCATGAACGTGAGTTTTGCAGTATAAAGGAGACTGACCTTTCTGTTTTATTTCCAGAGCAACAGTCCATATTCAGGTGAACGATGTTAACGAGTATGCTCCGGTGTTCAAAGAGAAGTCATACAAGGCAACGGTTATTGAAGGGAAGAGGTACGACAACATCCTGAAAGTGGAAGCAGTGGATGCGGATTGTTCACCTCAGTTCAGCCAGATTTGCAGTTATGAAATTGTGACTCCAGATGTACCGTTCGCTATTGACAAAGACGGTAAGAACGTGATGTGAGACCAAGTGAGAATTACTGTAACTTACTGCCCTAAGAACAGGGCTTCAAACTGGGCAGCATAAAACCACAGCAACCCTGGTTTTGACCCTTTCCTACAACGTAGTTAAAATGAGGCGTTCACTTTAGCAGTTTGAATTGGTCTTTCAGTGCCAATACCATGTTCTGTCTGCTGAGGTAAGGAGCAGATGGTCTGTTGCATGTGTGTTTCTTGAAAAATGCTTTTCAAAATGAAGGAAATACAGTAGCTCTATTATGTTTATTGGCTTTGAAGTGTAGTAATTTAGTGATTTGTTTAGGTAATTTCATTTCCACCCCTGATCTGTGACCTTTCATAATCTTTAGACTACTTCTAAGGGTTCAGGCAAGCCAATTAAGCAAAGTGAAACCGTATTTAGTGGGCTTTAGTTTGAGTTTTTGGAAGATCCACGTTACCAATGGATAATTTTCACCAGTGTGCAAATTAAAAAAGAGTTGAGAGTCCTGGTACATGCCAAAGAGTTTATTTATCAGTTATCACCTAAGAACAGTTTCATTTTGAGTAATATAATACACTATTAAGAGCCTGATAGGTGTATACCTGCTGTTCTGTGTGTGTGTGCTCATCTCTGGATGTATGTAACTTTTAAGGATATGAATCTAATGTCTGGCATTGAAAAGTCAAATGCTGAAGGGCTAGTTCACTTCCAGGTGTGTCTATTAAAGTGTTGGTACCTGCATGAATTATATAGGTGGTACCTGGGCGCGTTTAATGCGTCAGTGACCCTGAGAAATGAGTAGGTATTGATGTCTGATTATTGCTTTTTGTTTGGTTTTTTTTGGTCTCAGGTTATATAAAAAACACAGAAAAATTAAGTTATGGTAAAGAACATCAGTATAAACTGACAGTAACGGCGTATGACTGTGGGAAGAAGAGAGCTGCTGAGGATGTGTTGGTTAAAATTAGCATTAAGCCTACATGCAAGCCTGGCTGGCAAGGTTAGTTTCATCTCCTTCCTATCTTATTTTAGCATTTTCCAGTACCTTTGGTTTAACGTGAGAGATTTTTAATATTGTTTCTTTGGATAAATCTACAGGTTGGAGCAAAAGAATAGAATATGAGCCTGGTACTGGTTCATTAGCTCTCTTCCCCAGTATGCGTTTGGAGACATGTGATGAGCCAATAACCTCAATTCAAGCGACAGTTGAACTAGAAACCAACCATATTGGCAAAGGCTGTGATAGAGACACCTACTCTGAGAAATCCATTCACAGACTCTGTGGTAAGAATGCTTTTCTTAAAATAAAGTGGTCTCTCTAGCTTATTAGTTTTTCTTTGAATGCTATGCTAGACCACAAATCAATGAGTAGATACCATCTTCATTTGCATGTAGTTTCCTCCAGCTTTTTTCCCTTCAGGCAATAAAAAGTATGAAACTGGCTGCAGGTGACTTTTAAAATAATTCTCAAATGCAATAAAGAATCTTTTTCTTCTGTCTCTCCAGTAGCTTATATAGACTAATAATTTCCCTCACATGAGATTCACGTTCAAGAGCTGAGAGAATGTTACAGACTTGGAAGGTTATAGCCATTAAATCCTCTGTTTTTCTGAGGCATGATGGATGTGAAGGATGCAATGTAAGAAATACATGGTGAAAAAGGAAAAAGTAGATGAGAAAACCAAGAAAGTGTGGTTTCGAAAAAACAGTTTATTTGCATCAGTTAAATGTACACTGTGCTTGCCCTAGGAATAAAGGGCACCGTGGCATCCCTGTGTGCTGTGGCTAAAGGTCTTAGGAAAAGTTTATCAATCCTTTGTAGCCAATATGGAAGAATTTTGGTTACAGGACAAATTACCACTGATGATTTATGTCTTCAGCTTCAGTTCAAGTTAGTACAAAGTGTGAATACAGTGTGACCCTAGAGACCCAAGCAATTCCTAAGCTATTCCCTGACAAGGTCACTGTGACATTAATGATTTAGGCTTGAAGTGAGGGGAAAAAACAACAACTGAGTAGTACCTGCTGGGTGTCTTTGCTCCTGACTCTATTACTAGATGCTGATCTGGGAGGGGATGCTTATGCAGCTCTCTTCAACTAGATGCGTATTAAGTCTTAAAACTAGTATAGTGTGAAGAGAAAGGCATCGTTTTCATGGGCCTGAGGGACAAGTGGTATTAATGTAATTGGTCCTGAGATAGAGGCAAAATAAGGTTCTTCAGCTGCAGAGACAGTAAGCGAAACAATTTCAATGAGATTAGATGTCTATCCAGAAGTTAAATTTATGGAAGTCATCGTGTTATTAGATGTTCATTATTAGCGCCACATTATTAGAAGGAGAACTGCTTGCTGTGTAATGGTACTGCATAATCCCCACAGTTGGTCCTGAAAAATTAGTGCTCAGAAAAAGAGTTTGGTTTGAAACCAGCTGTGAGCTTTTTAGTTTCTAATTTTTTTTTTTTTTTTAAATTTCTGTGTTTTTATTGTAGGCGCTTCTTCTGGCACAGTTGAGCTGCTTCCCCCTCCAAGTAGTGCTGCTAACTGGACAATAGGACTTCCCACTGATAATGGCCATGACAGTGACCAAGTCTTTGAATTTAACGGCACGCAAGCTGTGAAGATTCCAGATGGCGTTGTCACAGTCAATCTAAAAGAGCCCTTCATGATTTCTGTGTGGATGAGGCATGGGCCTGGAACCAAAGAGAAAGAGACAATTCTGTGCAATTCAGACAAGACAGGTTTGTCAATCCTTCAAACATAAGCAGTCTCATTGTTGGGGTATGTTTATTGGTTTTTATATGCTGTGGCAACACCTTAGATTTTTTCTCTAGGCTAGGTTTTTCTTGGAAATGAAATGAAGAGGGCTGTAAAAATCGCTCTTCCTTGTGCTTACCTGTAAAGACAGGGCCTTAGATTATCTGGCTTTAGATTAGGCAGACTTTTTTTTTTTTGTAATTCTATTTCGGTTATTTTATGCATTTCTTTTTGCGGTGGTAGATGACTTGTTCCAGCAATGCACTCTCAATCTTTGCATCTCCAAAGATAACCTTATTCTTGATGCTGCCTAAAATCATTGATTGTGTATCAGGTTTAGTGGTGCCATTTGCTACTATATCTTCTGTTTTTCTAGAAGGAGATAATTTCTCTTTCTCCAGTGATGAAGTTTTTTTTCACCCTGTGCATGATTTCAGTCTCTGTGAATGCTACAGACACAAACATTTTGAAGATACTATTAATAAGGAGGAAATCTGATAACCCTGTTTCCGTAATTGCTGTCTAAAGGGGTAAAAGAATTCTTGTCTTTGTGAGCTGGAGCAATTCATTTGTTCAGTGTATTAGAAGGATATTTTATTTCAAATGCTGCTAGGTTTTTCAAAGGAAATTATGCTGAAAATAGAGCAAATGCAGCAGCCCTCACCCTTAATTAAATTTATCTGAAAATAAGAAAGATTTAACAGCATTAGCAATATCCTAAAAGCATTTCTTTGAACAGGAGAAAAATGACTGTCATTCAGAACCAGGTACAAGTGTTTTCTTTTCTCTACCTTCACCCATTCCTCTTAGTGAAAACCCAAAACTTCGGATCCAAGGAAGTGAGTAAACTGGAGAAAAAAGGCAAATTTAAATAGTTTTTCCTGGTTTAAAGAAGCAGACCTTTAAAATAAGTTTTCCTTTTTTATTCCTTGTTTTGACCTGACTATGTAATACTTGCAATGGATAGTTTTCTGATAGTAGAAATACCATTTGCAATTAATTTCAATGGTATTTTATACAATATTGAAAGACTGGAACTAGGTTTGTTGGAGGGAGGCACCTCAGAACATATTGCACTGGAACAATGCAGTCGGATTTAATGCTGGCAGGCTGAAAGATTGATGTGATTCTGGTATTTTTTCATTCCCTCCTTTCTTGACTCATCTAGCCACAGAATGGATGATGCAGCTAAAATGTTTCTTATTCTTACCTGTTTCTCTGGCATCTCACCTTTGTCTTTGGTTTAAATGTTGAATCCCTTAGAGCTACAACAATACAGTTTTCTCTTAGGAAAGTGTGTCCACCTGCCATCATGTGTACGTGTTCCAAAATGGTAAATGAGATGCGGTAGAAGCTACTCATTTGTAACAAAAAAGCTCTTCTATTTGCAAATAGAACTCTCTTTCTCCCACTGATAGGTTTATCTCCCTGAGTCTTTAGTCCTGTGCCTTGGTTTAGATTGGATTTGGAGATAGACGTGTCTGTTTATTGTACAGTGTATTACTCATGGGTTGTTCAAGAATGTTTGCCCTAATTACTGTTACAGATGTTTCTCATTCCTCTTAACACACCCAAATTTACTTCTACATTTGTTTCTTCCTATCGGTTGCTTGGGGATTTATGTATGGAATTACAGAATGGGCCATTTTTGTGACGTTCTTAAGGTTTACAGGAAATAATGATATTAATTCAAACTCTTGTGCAGATATGAACCGGCACCACTACACACTCTACGTGCACAACTGCCGACTTGTTTTCCTCTTCCGCCAAGATCCTTCCGAGGGAAAAACATACAAACCTGCTGAGTTTCACTGGAAGCTCAATCAAGTAAGTTTGGGAGGGCAGTTGATGGGATGCTGGAATGCAGTGAAGACCATCGGAGACTGAATTCCCTGTAGTATAATTATTAATAAATACTTTTTGCAGCTTCAGACTTCTCATGTTATGTTTTACAGAACCAAACAGTACTTATTTTATTTGTGATTGAGTGTCAGAGATCATTTGAGCTATCCCTTTAAATCTTGACTATAAAATGCTGCTTTAGTGGTTTTATTAAACCCAGCGGGGTACTCATGAAATAGTCATTGTCCTGAAAGGTAGTAAAACGTGGATTTATATGTGAAAATCCAATGTCAGTCTTGTAGCTGTGATGTCTTTAGTTATCTTCACTAAATACACTATAAGGTAATGTGCATGAAAAAACATGAGTTATTCCAGTTTGTTTATAGTATTAAACTGCTGCTGAGCATGCGACATTCTCACAGATCAAAGTGTCAGTAGGGTAACAGAAGAACTTACCATCTTAATCCATTTTCGCACTGAAATAAAATTTGTGACTTTTTACACATTACAAGCAGTAGCTACAAATCAGTTTTCTTAATTAGATTTTACTCTGCAAAAATAGATTTAATAGGCCTCTGAGGGATGCGGGTCGTTTCTGCTTCCTATTTACAGAGAGGAGCTGTCTGGTTCTATTCTTTCAGTCACGTATTCTTAATTATTTTATGTTTGGAAGTGAAGGCTGTAATAACAAATCTTTACTTCGGTCCTATTAAGATCTACAGAGCTTATTTCTATGAATCCATGATGTTAAGATACGAAGAATGGGACAGCAGGGCCTAGGGTTTTTGTGTGCTTTTCCAGCCCTTTGGATCAGAGTGCTGAAATAAACCTGTGTATCTGTACATTGACAAAGGTTCTTTTAGTTGCTTTAGGTTGTTATTGCAACTGTTTTTCCAGGTACTAACAATGAGTTACTTTCTAACACAGCTAACTATATCCTGCTTTCTGTGTCGGGCAGTTTATACTGTGTTAATGATCAAATGCCCCTATATGTCCTTATTTGGAGGATTATTATTTTCCAAAAACTAATTGGCTTTCACTATAAATGATTCTGCAGCAGAAGGCTTTCTTCTGTTCAAAATGAGCCCCTTTCAGCAAATACAGGTCCTTTGTCAAGCATTGTGTTAAAATAGTATTTCAGAATGTGTTCGCATATAGATACATATTTTTAAACTTAAACATGCTGTTATTAGATATTATAAAAATTAAAGGAGTGGAAATACATGCAGCTTCCTATATTGGCAATAGAAGAGAAGAAGCTATAAATATTTGACAGTTAGTTTGCATTTTCAGCTGTGTGCTGTGTGTGAAACATAAAGTATGTCTATACAGGTTTCCAGGTTATCAGTGTGTCTGCATGTATGTATATGCAAAATGTGTATCAGATCAGTTACTCGACTATAATTTAAAAAAATAATTAAAGTACTGTTTCTAAAACTTTCTTTACTCAGGTGTGTGACAAAGAGTGGCATCATTATGTCCTCAATGTTGAATTTCCTGCGGTAACCCTTTATGTAGACGGTGTTTCATATGATCCTTTCCCAGTGACTGAAGATTATCCACTTCATCCTTCAAAGATAGAAACGCAGCTGGTAGTCGGAGCGTGTTGGCAAGGTAACTATTTACAATTGGTCATACTTTCGATTAACTTTTTTTTAAAGGGAAATCTTTGTGGTTAGCCTAGAAGTACATCGCAGATTTTTTTAGCGCATGAAAGATAACTTGTTTTGTCTTTTGCAGATTATTTTGGCTCTTAGGTAGTATCACGTATTTTTTCTTTTAGTCATTTTTTCCATGAGTGTGTTTTTGCTCGTTGGCCACAGGTGTGTATAAAATAGGGAGCTACTCACTGAGCAGTGTTCCATCAAAGTAAATTTGTGGTAACTGGGGGAATATAGATATCTTATTTTTAATAACAGTTGTAAGAGTTGATCGTATACTTCTGATTACTGAATAGAACACTTTATTTCAAGTAGGTTGGAAAGGGTCTTGTAGGAAAAGCGTTCTCATAAATGGAAGCATGACCAGCAGGCAATTCAGTGAAGCAACACATTTGTGCTGTCTTTTGGGTATTATACCACTTCTGCTTACAAAAATAAACATAGAAAGAATCTGCTTTGTTGTATGCAGACTGTGGATTAAAACACGCTACTCTGCAAACTGTAAAATGCTGATTCATGTGCTTTAATACTTGTGAAGAAAGCTTTTTAAGAGCTTGAGAAAAAGAATAATGCATCTGAACATGGAGGCTGATGACCAGAGATATTACAAAGATGTAACACAGCTCTTGCTTCACAATCCTGCACTGAAATGTTTGCTGATTAAATTACACCCTGCCTGGTATAAAGCTGGTCTTTTTGGTCAGAGATAGAATGTTGTTAAATCATTCGTGTTTTATTGTGGTTCAGGATATAGAGTGTAGTTGTGGTCCCAGTAATGCACAGAAGTACCTGGTGAATGAATGACATTTCAAATGGAAAGCTTTGAGATGTTTTAATCAAATTGAACAGTCTTCTGTCTTCAGTGTCTCTTTTCTCTTTAAGGCTTTGAAGTGTGAATGAAGGTTAAATTATCAAAATATCCTCTCCATCAGATTTACTATTTTGTGACAAGTTCACTGTCTTCCAGTGTTAATGTTATTTCAGTGCCGAATTCATTCTGTTGTTGCTTCCTTTGAATCAATTAAATTTCTTCAAGCTCAGAGGGAATCTATAGTGGCTGGTTTTCAAGAAAGTGGAGCTTGGAAACTCAGTTCCAGCTAAGAGTATGGATTGTATAGTGGCTTTCAGATATGTTCTGCATCCTAACAAAAGCAGATACATTCAGTTTAAAAACTCCTGTGCTTTCATATTGGCACCGCTTTCATATGATTCCTTGATTTCTTCTGACATGAATTTTCTCTTTAATCACAGCAGACTGAAATAAGAGCATTAAAAGTCTGGAGGGTGAGAACTCGAGGCACTACCTTTTAAAAATTCCCCCAATAGCCTGATTTTTAGGCAGTTAGAACACAGGGGAAAAAAGTGTGCTAAAGGCATGAAGTTAGTGCTTAAGGCCGTCCTCTTTGTCTTAACAAGATTTTAAAATAAATCTGGCTGCACTGAATTATATGTACAGCTCACCTCTAAGGAGATATTTTATGCTTTTGAAAAAGTTCTTTTAACATTTCTTTTAAAAGATTAAAAGCTGTTTTTCATTTTTGGTGCTTCCCTCCCCAGATGCTTCCTTCTGATAATTGACTGTATAATACATATGATATATTGTTATGATAAAAAAAAAAATACCTCTGTTGGTCAAGGCTCCTTTTGATCACCATCTAATGCCTTTTGGTGATTTGTTGATAGAGGCTGGATCTCACCTTAATGTCCTTTTTAGTAGTTGGAAGAGGAGAAAATAAATCAAGGCAGTTGATAGAGCTGTATCTCATTGCTAATAGAGGTTTGTGTGAGATTGGGTATCTGTGGTTAAAATGTTCTCCAGTGTGACTGTTTTACTGCAGCTTGTGTGGGGGGCTCTTCTGTCTTGTCCTGGATGTGATGTTCTTGTACCAACACAGTAATGCTTCTTCCCTGCGTTGCAGCTGTTAGTGTGTCAGAGGACTCACAATCCCTGAGACTCTGGGTCGAGTATTAGCAGGCTTTTTTGGGGAAGTGCTGCTGGGTATTTTCTGTGATAAGAGAGTTTGCCAGATTGTAACTACTTGATCCTTTCCCTGTTGTCCTATTCTTTGTCTTGCTTTTCTACAGAATATACAGGAAATGAAAATGACAATGAAACTGTGCCTGAGACCTCTGCAGGTTGCTGGAGTTTTTCCCTACTGTTTTATTTCATTTTTAAGCCAAGACATTGCTTCATCTCGCGCACAGCATGAAATGCAGGCATTGCATTCAGGCCATTGACCTTCACATAATCCTCTCCTAGGCTTGTTTCTTCATTATGCTTCTATTTCCAGAGCTTCATCAGCTGGTTTTTCTTTGCTTTCTTTTTGGTTTTTGGTGGGTTTTTTTGGTTGTACCCAAATGCACATTCATGTACAAATCTGCAACCATTGTGATTGCAGTGAAGTGGTGTAATGTAAGTTGCTGATGTAAAGTATCAGCTATAATTTCTTTAATCCAGTTTTGTTAAAACATAAATGCACCTCATTCTATATAAGTATATATATGTATGTAGGGGTGTGTGTATCATAGAATTATTCAGTAGGTTGGGAAGGACGTCTGGAAGTCAGGTAGCTCTTGCTCCCCACTCGAGTGATTTCATATTTAGATTGGGTTGCCTGTATGTAACTCACACAGCTAACTATATCCTGCTTTCTGTGTCAGGCAGTTTATACTGTGTTAATGGTCAAATGCCCATATATGTCCTTATTTGGAGGATTATTAGTTTCCAAAAACTAATTGGCTTTCACTATGAATGATTCTGCAGCAGAAGGCTTTATTCTGTTCAAAATGAGCCCCTTTCAGCAAACGCAGGTCCTTTGTCAAGCATTGTGTTATAATAGTATTTCAGAATGTGTTCGCATGTAGATACATATTTTTAAATTATTTTAATTCACTTGGTCAGAAATTGATAGAAAGTTCTAATTACAATGAATGGACATAAAAGCTTTGGCTACTGGGTGTTTCAGGTTGGCTGAGGCTTTTATTTTCTTAGAAATTTTTAGTGATAGTTAGTGATAGATAGTGATAGGTGGTGCATTTTGTGTCTTGAATTCTGTTCAAAATGAGCCCCTTTCAGCAAATACAGGTCCTTTGTCAAGCATTGTGTTAAAATAGTATTTCAGAATGTGTTCGCATATAGATACATATTTTTAAACTTAAACATGCTGTTATTAGATATTATAAAAATTAAAGGAGTGGAAATACATGCAGCTTCCTATATTGGCAATAGAAGAGAAGAAGCTATAAATATTTGACAGTTAGTTTGCATTTTCAGCTGTGTGCTGTGTGTGAAACATAAAGTATGTCTATACAGGTTTCCAGGTTATCAGTGTGTCTGCATGTATGTATATGCAAAATGTGTATCAGATCAGTTACTCGACTATAATTTAAAAAAATAATTAAAGTACTGTTTCTAAAACTTTCTTTACTCAGGTGTGTGACAAAGAGTGGCATCATTATGTCCTCAATGTTGAATTTCCTGCGGTAACCCTTTATGTAGACGGTGTTTCATATGATCCTTTCCCAGTGACTGAAGATTATCCACTTCATCCTTCAAAGATAGAAACGCAGCTGGTAGTCGGAGCGTGTTGGCAAGGTAACTATTTACAATTGGTCATACTTTCGATTAACTTTTTTTTAAAGGGAAATCTTTGTGGTTAGCCTAGAAGTACATCGCAGATTTTTTTAGCGCATGAAAGATAACTTGTTTTGTCTTTTGCAGATTATTTTGGCTCTTAGGTAGTATCACGTATTTTTTCTTTTAGTCATTTTTTCCATGAGTGTGTTTTTGCTCGTTGGCCACAGGTGTGTATAAAATAGGGAGCTACTCACTGAGCAGTGTTCCATCAAAGTAAATTTGTGGTAACTGGGGGAATATAGATATCTTATTTTTAATAACAGTTGTAAGAGTTGATCGTATACTTCTGATTACTGAATAGAACACTTTATTTCAAGTAGGTTGGAAAGGGTCTTGTAGGAAAAGCGTTCTCATAAATGGAAGCATGACCAGCAGGCAATTCAGTGAAGCAACACATTTGTGCTGTCTTTTGGGTATTATACCACTTCTGCTTACAAAAATAAACATAGAAAGAATCTGCTTTGTTGTATGCAGACTGTGGATTAAAACACGCTACTCTGCAAACTGTAAAATGCTGATTCATGTGCTTTAATACTTGTGAAGAAAGCTTTTTAAGAGCTTGAGAAAAAGAATAATGCATCTGAACATGGAGGCTGATGACCAGAGATATTACAAAGATGTAACACAGCTCTTGCTTCACAATCCTGCACTGAAATGTTTGCTGATTAAATTACACCCTGCCTGGTATAAAGCTGGTCTTTTTGGTCAGAGATAGAATGTTGTTAAATCATTCGTGTTTTATTGTGGTTCAGGATATAGAGTGTAGTTGTGGTCCCAGTAATGCACAGAAGTACCTGGTGAATGAATGACATTTCAAATGGAAAGCTTTGAGATGTTTTAATCAAATTGAACAGTCTTCTGTCTTCAGTGTCTCTTTTCTCTTTAAGGCTTTGAAGTGTGAATGAAGGTTAAATTATCAAAATATCCTCTCCATCAGATTTACTATTTTGTGACAAGTTCACTGTCTTCCAGTGTTAATGTTATTTCAGTGCCGAATTCATTCTGTTGTTGCTTCCTTTGAATCAATTAAATTTCTTCTAGCTCAGAGGGAATCTATAGTGGCTGGTTTTCAAGAAAGTGGAGCTTGGAAACTCAGTTCCAGCTAAGAGTATGGATTGTATAGTGGCTTTCAGATATGTTCTGCATCCTAACAAAAGCAGATACATTCAGTTTAAAAACTCCTGTGCTTTCATATTGGCACCGCTTTCATATGATTCCTTGATTTCTTCTGACATGAATTTTCTCTTTAATCACAGCAGACTGAAATAAGAGCATTAAAAGTCTGGAGGGTGAGAACTCGAGGCACTACCTTTTAAAAATTCCCCCAATAGCCTGATTTTTAGGCAGTTAGAACACAGGGGAAAAAAGTGTGCTAAAGGCATGAAGTTAGTGCTTAAGGCCGTCCTCTTTGTCTTAACAAGATTTTAAAATAAATCTGGCTGCACTGAATTATATGTACAGCTCACCTCTAAGGAGATATTTTATGCTTTTGAAAAAGTTCTTTTAACATTTCTTTTAAAAGATTAAAAGCTGTTTTTCATTTTTGGTGCTTCCCTCCCCAGATGCTTCCTTCTGATAATTGACTGTATAATACATATGATATATTGTTATGATAAAAAAAAAAATACCTCTGTTGGTCAAGGCTCCTTTTGATCACCATCTAATGCCTTTTGGTGATTTGCTGATAGAGGCTGGATCTCACCTTAATGTCCTTTTTAGTAGTTGGAAGAGGAGAAAATAAATCAAGGCAGTTGATAGAGCTGTATCTCATTGCTAATAGAGGTTTGTGTGAGATTGGGTATCTGTGGTTAAAGTGTTCTCCAGTGTGACTGTTTTACTGCAGCTTGTGTGGGGGGCTCTTCTGTCTTGTCCTGGATGTGATGTTCTTGTACCAACACAGTAATGCTTCTTCCCTGCGTTGCAGCTGTTAGTGTGTCAGAGGACTCACAATCCCTGAGACTCTGGGTCGAGTATTAGCAGGCTTTTTTGGGGAAGTGCTGCTGGGTATTTTCTGTGATAAGAGAGTTTGCCAGATTGTAACTACTTGATCCTTTCCCTGTTGTCCTATTCTTTGTCTTGCTTTTCTACAGAATATACAGGAAATGAAAATGACAATGAAACTGTGCCTGAGACCTCTGCAGGTTGCTGGAGTTTTTCCCTACTGTTTTATTTCATTTTTAAGCCAAGACATTGCTTCATCTCGCGCACAGCATGAAATGCAGGCATTGCATTCAGGCCATTGACCTTCACATAATCCTCTCCTAGGCTTGTTTCTTCATTATGCTTCTATTTCCAGAGCTTCATCAGCTGGTTTTTCTTTGCTTTCTTTTTGGTTTTTGGTGGTTTTTTTTGGTTGTACCCAAATGCACATTCATGTACAAATCTGCAACCATTGTGATTGCAGTGAAGTGGTGTAAAGTAAGTTGCTGATGTAAAGTATCAGCTATAATTTCTTTAATCCAGTTTTGTTAAAACATAAATGCACCTCATCCTATATAAGTATATGTATATATAGGTATGTAGGGGGGTGTGTATCATAGAATTATTCAGTAGGTTGGGAAGGACGTCTGGAAGTCAGGTAGCTCTTGCTCCCCACTCAAGAGTGATTTCATATTTAGATTGGGTTGCCTGTATGTAACTCAAACAGACCTGTAATGTCTAGGGGGTACTCACTTGGTCAGAAATTGATAGAAAGTTCTAATTACAATGAATGGACATAAAAGCTTTGGCTACTGGGTGTTTCAGGTTGGCTGAGGCTTTTATTTTCTTAGAAATTTTTAGTGATAGTTAGTGATAGATAGTGATAGGTGGTGCATTTTGTGTCTTGAGACACTTAAAATTAGTACGTATTTCTAAAGGTGTATTCAAGATAAGTACTCTTTTCTATAAAGAATTCCTGGAATGGTCTAGATGCAATTGACAAGAGGTTTCTAGCTGTGCGTCACATTTTAATTTGGCAAGGATGTAACAGGATCCAAGGACTAGAAGCTAGAGCTCTACAAATCTAAACTGGAAATGATATAATTTGTAGAAGGTCAATTCACTACTAAAAATTATGCCAGGGATCTTTTATCACTTAGAATCTTTAAAACAAGCTTAGACATCTTTCTAAAAATCTGGTAGCTTAGTAAGTGGTGACCTTGAAATACAAATTTCTGGGTAGTGTTCTGTGGCCCCCATTGTTTAGCAAGATACAGACACATGGTGGTGTCGTCTTCAAAAAATCTAAGCAGAAAAAAGGGGCTTGTTGGGTGGCAATTCATTGGACTTAACTCATATCTAAAAGTGAGTTACCTGAGTTTAAACTGCTCCCTTGAGTCCGTACAGAAAAGGCAGCACCTTTACAGGGGAGCAACGAATTCTCAGACACCTCTTTCAGAACGAGCGGAATCACTTTGTGAAATTTCTTTCTGTCCTTTGAGTGCAAAGAGCCCATGATGATGGGGTTAGATGTAGATAATGAACATCTAGAGGAAGCTCTTGTCTTCTGTGCTGATGGGCATTGCCTGTTTGTAGAGAACATCTCGTAGGAGGCGTTACCTCAGCATGAAGGTTCAGGTTTCGTAGTTCATCTCATTGGGTCTGTCTTCCATTTCTGAAGAACACCACCTCGCTGTACGGGCCATTTCTTCTGAAATGTTTGTTACGGAAATACCAGCCTTAGTTTCACAGTTCGAGATGGCCCCACCTGTTTTGAAGGCCATGTGCATGGTGAACTGTTTAATTTATTTTTTTTCTTTATGCTTGAACGTAATCACAAGGTTAACACCCAGAATGGATAAAAACTAACCCGCATGTATATAATACTCTGTGGTACCAGAAGGCATATTTGTTTTCTAAAAGGAAAAAAAAAATAATAAAAGAATCAAAATATCTAAAGCAGGCATATTTGTTTTCTAAAAGGAAAAAAAATAAATTAAAAGAATCAAAATATCTAAAGATTCTTGCTTTTCTACAGAATATACAGGAAATGAAAATGACAATGAAACTGTGCCTGAGACCTCTGCAGGTTGCTGGAGTTTTTCCCTACTGTTTTATTTCATTTTTAAGCCAAGACATTGCTTCATCTCGCGCACAGCATGAAATGCAGGCATTGCATTCAGGCCATTGACCTTCACATAATCCTCTCCTAGGCTTGTTTCTTCATTATGCTTCTATTTCCAGAGCTTCATCAGCTGGTTTTTCTTTGCTTTCTTTTTGGTTTTTGGTGGTTTTTTTTGGTTGTACCCAAATGCACATTCATGTACAAATCTGCAACCATTGTGATTGCAGTGAAGTGGTGTAAAGTAAGTTGCTGATGTAAAGTATCAGCTATAATTTCTTTAATCCAGTTTTGTTAAAACATAAATGCACCTCATTCTATATAAGTATATATATGTATGTAGGGGTGTGTGTATCATAGAATTATTCAGTAGGTTGGGAAGGACGTCTGGAAGTCAGGTAGCTCTTGCTCCCCACTCGAGTGATTTCATATTTAGATTGGGTTGCCTGTATGTAACTCAAACAGACCTGTAATGTCTAGGGGGTACTTGGTCAGAAATTGATAGAAAGTTCTAATTACAGTGAATGGGCATAAAAGCTTTGGCTACTGGGTGTTTCAGGTTGCCTGAGGCTTTTATTTTCTTAGAAATTTTTAGTGATAGTTAGTGATAGATAGTGATAGGTGGTGCATTTTGTGTCTTGAGACACTTAAAATTAGTACGTATTTCTAAAAGTGTATTCAAGTACTCTTTTCTATAAAGAATTCCTGGAATGGTCTAGATAAAATTGACAAGAGGTTTCTAGCTGTGCGTCACATTTTAATTTGGCAAGGATGTAACAGGATCCAAGGGCTAGAAGCTGGAGCTGTACAAATCTAAACTGGAAATGATATAATTTGTAGAAGGTCAATTCACTACTAAAAATTATGCCAGGGATCTTTTATCACTTAGAATCTTTAAAACAAGCTTAGACATCTTTCTAAAAATCTGGTAGCTTAGTAAGTGGTGACCTTGAAATACAAATTTCTGGGTAGTGTTCTGTGGCCCCCATTGTTTAGCAAGATACAGACACATGGTGGTGTCGTCTTCAGAAAATCTAAGCAGAAAAAAGGGGCTTGTTGGGTGGCAATTCATTGGACTTAACTCATATCTAAAAGTGAGTTACCTGAGTTTAAACTGCTCCCTTGAGTCCGTACAGAAAAGGCAGCACCTTTACAGGGGAGCAACGAATTCTCAGACACCTCTTTCAGAACGAGCAGAATCACTTTGTGAAGTTTCTTTCTGTCCTTTGAGTGCAAAGAGCCCATGATGATGGGGTTAGATGTAGGTAATGAACATCTAGAGGAAGCTCTCGTCTTCTGTGCTGATGGGCATTGCCTGTTTGTAGAGAACATCTCGTAGGAGGCGTTACCTCAGCATGAAGGTTCAGGTTTCGTAGTTCATCTCATTGGGTCTGTCTTCCATTTCTGAAGAACACCACCTCGCTGTACGGGCCATTTCTTCTGAAATGTTTGTTACGGAAATACCAGCCTTAGTTTCACAGTTCGAGATGGCCCCACCTGTTTTGAAGGCCATGTGCATGGTGAACTGTTTAATTTAATTTTTTTCTTTATGCTTGAACGTAATCACAAGGTTAACACCCAGAATGGATAAAAACTAACCCGCATGTATATAATACTTTGTGGTACCAGAAGGCATATTTGTTTTCTAAAAGGAAAAAAAATAAATTAAAAGAATCAAAATATCTAAAGATTTTTTTCCTTCCTTCCTTTCTGAAGGTGGTGAGCTCCACATGGCGCAGTTTTTCCGAGGCAACCTGGCAGGTCTGATGATTCGTTCTGGTAAACTGGAAAACAAGAAGGTGATCGATTGCCTGTACACGTGCAAAGAGGGGCTGGATTTGCAAATGCCTGATGGTGTTGGCAAAGGCGTGAAGGTAAAGCTGCTCCACGGGGATAAAGGGGAGTGTGTTTATTGCCTTGCTGATAATAGTTAACAAGTTTTGCAGTTAGTGGGGGTGTCCCAAATAAAATGAGCTAATCTATTGTGCATTAAAATGACAGGAAAACTAGGAAATCTTTCTTGTGGAGGCTAGGAGTTAAAGTTACTGTGTTCTCTTTAAGTCTTGAAGACAAATTCCATGTTTGCAAGCCTCTCTTTTACCAGCTGTACAGAGGTGCCTAATAAAAGATAAGAGATTCTTAACAAGCAGCTCAGCAGGAGACTAACTTGTGTGCCTTTTTTAATAGCAAGGTTATGTGAACGGAGCTGAATTTCTTCTTTGTATTAGCTGTCTCTCTTCCGTGTTACTAGAATCTTCACATCAGAACTAGAAGTACCTAGATTTTTTTCTTAAAGAACAAAAGGCTAAATGTATTTGACTGGAATAAGGAAGGGAATGGGGAAGTTAGACTGTGCTGGTAAATAATGGCCTTCTTGCTGTGAATGCAGATGTCGTTATCCGAGCAGTTACCAGGCTAGGCAGTGCTGAACTTCCAGATTTCATTACCTGCTCGTGTTACTGTAGGAGTATTCTCTTACATTGTTCTCTGTGTTGTTTCAGGTCCACATGAACCCCAGTCAGTCAACGCTGACCTTGGAGGGGGATGACATTGACAGAGTGGATAAGGCCATGCAGCACGTTTCCTACCTGAATTCCCGCCAGTTCCCAACACCTGGCATTCGGAGGCTTAAAATCACCAGCGTGGTCAAGTATGTCCTAGTGCTGAGGGAACCCCTCTGTAGGGTGATGTGAACCCTGAAACAATGTTCTGTATCTCAGTTATGGTAAACAAAGGAGTCTTGCTGTGTGTAACTCTCACACATTGGAATACGGAGAATGTTTCTACACCAGCACTCTGACTTTGTTCCTGAGACTGCAGTGAGGAGTGTGTGAGACAGGGAGCAACTAGTGGGTTGTGTTGGGGGGGGTGTGCTCTCTGTCCCCAGTATCACAGCCTTCACTGAAGGTGTTAGCTGTGCTGTTAGTCAGAGCATAGAAAATGGGGCCAAATGTTAACGGTAAGTAAAAATTAATTGTAAGATTGCTCCCTTGGTGGGGAATCCTTCCTTTCCAACGCAGTTGATGAATTTATCTAGGACTCTTGGGTCCGAGACAGAGCTTTTTAAAAATTTATGAAGCAATTACCCTGCATAATTGTGCCTTGCTCTAAAATAGCCTCCCTGACTGTGCGAAACTGCTTCTGTGTCTCATAGGTGTTTCAATGAAGAGGCCTGTGTCTCCATTCCTTCTGTGGAAGGATATGTAATGGTCTTGCAACCAGAGGAACCGAAAATCAGCCTTAGTGGCATCAACCATTTTGCCCGCTCTGCTTCAGAGTTTGAGAGTTCTGAGGGTGTTTCCCTCTTTCCTGAGCTTCGCATAATAAGCACCATTACGCGGGAGGTGGAGCCAGAGGGAGATGGAGATGAAGATCCTACAGGTAACAACATCCTTTTCCTCTTAGAACTGTTGCCAACCCTCACCCCATTCAGCGATCACATTGGAGGATCTTCCTCCTGCAGAGGCATGGATTTCTCTTTTAGTAATGAATCTAGTAGGAGAAAAGAAGATGTGTATCTCTTGTGAGAAGGTGTAGATACTCTGCTCTGGGCTAGCAAGAGTGTACCTTGAAGTGGTAGTAAGACCAGGCCATTGTCTTTATGTAAATATCCCTTGGTTGTATTTTGTGGTTTTTTTTTTTTAAATCACCGTTTCATGAATCCTTGCTCTCTTTGCTTCGGGCCCAGATCTTAATGTTTGTTCTGGAAGAGGAGCTGAGTTTGCACGTGACATTTTATAGCTTCTGGGCTCTTGTCTCCTTAACCTTTGTTTCTGCTTAACTCTTGGGCTTTTTCTCTGCTTTTTAGTACAAGAATCTTTGGTATCTGAAGAGATCATGCATAACCTGGATACATGTGAGGTGACAGTGCTGGGAGAGGAACTAAATCAGGAACAAGAAAGCCTGGAGATCGACATGACGCGGTTGCAGCAGAAGGGCATTGAGATGAGCAGTTCCAACCTGGGCATGATAATCACAGGTAGGGGCTGCCACTGGTTGGTTGTAGCAGGGGTCTGAAGACAGTGATAATGGGAACAGTGTGCTGGGGAGGGGTTTGTAACACCTTACTCCAAATACTTCCTTTTTGACAAGAATTTTGAGCTCAGAGGTGTTACAATTATTTTGTGGAAAACTGCGATTTGAGAAAATACGCCGTTCTAGAACCTCCTTTCTGTTCTTCTCCCATGTCCCAAATTGTGGGTTGCCTCTGGAGAAATGAAGTACACTTTGCCCTAGAAAAAGGCTTGTTCCTTGTATAGGTAATGCGGGGTCTGGGAGCGTGCACCAGTCCTTCCTGTTTTATATTCAGAATATGTTCATATATTCAAAAGAAAGGCTCCCAGGATCCCTTTAAGGACTAACTGGGTCTAGGATTTTATCACAGAATCAATCCATGGAATTTCAGTGGAGCCACACAGTTGTGTGTCTGTGGTGTTACTTTTTCAATTGACTGAAAATCTGACAGCCAGGAAGACTTAGTTAAAGAAAGGGAGTAATATTTGTGGAGTATATGATGATGTATTACTCTTCAACAAAGTAAATGCTTTACTTGTTTGTTTTTCTCCACAGGGGTTGATACTATGGCTAATTATGAAGAAGTTTTGCATTTGATACGCTACAGGAACTGGCACACTGTGTCTCTCTTTGACAGAAAGTTCAAATTAGTCTGTTCTGAGCTTAACGGGCGCTATGTCAGCAATGAATTTAAAGTGGAGGTAAGTGAGCTGAGCTGGTCGCCGGGATGGTCAGGAGGATGGAAGTTGTTACCTTAACTGATTCAGGGTTTTGCCCTGTAAATAAATACTAGTAAACGTGTGCGTTTATACATCTATTTTATGTATAAATGTGTTCTTAATCCTACATTTCAGCTTTAAATAAGGCTGTCTAAACAGGTGAAACTGTTGTGTTATAGAAGAAATAATGTGGCCAATGGAAGTGTGAAGGCAAAAAGGTTGAATTGGAAAGACAGTGTATTAATTTAGCAAAAAACTAGCAAATAAAGTAAGAGTAGACTTGAGTGGCCTTTGTGTGTAGCTCCTCGGGTTCTGCAGATGGAGTTGCCGGCCCTTTTACTGCTTTGCTTGTGTGCTGCTAAAATCCCTGATACTGAGGGCTTCTGTAAGAGAACAGACAGGCTAAAATTGCTTTTCCTCTGCAGTAACATACAGGTTATTTATGACTTAGTACAATTACATCAGATATATGGAAGTACAGCAGAAAATAACACAAAGGTGCTGGAATATGAAGTTTCTTATATTGAGAGGAACTGTCACATAACTCTGCATCTTTCAGCTGTGAGCTTGAATTTCTACATTTTTGAGCTGACCAAAGGGTGACTGTGTATTTCCAACTTGTTGGGTGGTTATGGTGGGTTGGGGAGCCTCGTCCAGAATATTTCCAACTTGTTGGGTGGTTATGGTGGGCCGGGGAGCCTCCCATCTCGCAGAGTAGAAACTTCTGTGTTAAGTAATGTGGTTTTGTTTCCTGAGGAAATTCTGTGAGCTTGAGCTGAACAGCAGATGCTTTCCGCATCGGGCAGTAAACGTGCTCTCTTCCTGTTGTGCAGCTGGTCAGGTACCCGGTATCACCGAGTTCCACCACAGGAGGGGTATTTTTAGCTCTGCTTCTTTGGCAAGGAAACCAGAAAAATGCTGTGCAAGTGATGATCTTGCAGTTGTACCTAAAAGCCAGCTCTGCTAAGTGGGAGTTAAGCTTTAATCAATCATTTTCTCTTAACCCTTTGACTCTAATGTGGGTAAGAAAAGATGGGAATGGAAAAAATGTAATTAATGTATTACTGTACATTATTACAGTGTATACTGTTAATTTTGGCTGGCTCTTATTACAGTATTACAGTGTATACTGTTAATTTTGGCTGGCTGTTATTACAGTATTACAGTATATACTGTTAATTTATACTGTTAAAATGGCTGGCTACCAAATTTGAAAGTAAACTGGCTTTATCTGTTTTATTCTGAAATCCTGGTGTCTGTACACAAACTTGCCAGACTTAACTCAAAGAAATTTGAGAGCTGTGACAAGGAATTGTACGTGAGGAGCTACTGGTTGAGATGATTGTCCCCTGAGACAAGCCCTTGCTGTGTTGAAGGAGAAGTGGATGCCTGCTCTGGAAAACAGATTATTTTTTTTATTTTATTTTTTCTTTGTCTGTCTTTTTATCTCCCCAGAAGTAAGTAGTTGCATTTCTGGAGGTTAACATTTTGGCTTTGTCCCCAGGTGAACGTTATCCACACGGCTAACCCTGTTGAACACGCCAATCACATCGCTGCGCAGCCACAGTTTGTTCACCCAGTGCATCACACCTTTGTTGATCTCTCTGGCCACAACCTGGCCAACCCTCACCCCTTTTCAGGTAAGAATTCTCAGTCCATGAGGTTCGGTTGTTTTTTTTTCTTCTGGTGTTAAACTATCATGGGGGCTTCTTGCTGCAGAGAGGTTTTTCCCCCGAGTTTGAAGCAGTGACTTGGTCTGGTTCTGCTGTTGCCCGGGGAGGGAGGAGTGAATCTCTAGAGATCTATGAAATACCTTTCCCTCCAGCAGGAGAGCTCTCTGCTGGTGTGTGCGTCGGAAATGGGGAGGTGTGCGAGGGCTGGAGGGGACTCTAAGTCCCAGATAAAGAACGTGAGGAACTGGGACAGCATTTCTTCTGAATGGCATGAGGGAAGAACTGCAGCGTTATTCCCTTGATGAGTTGTGTTATCTGTCCTTTCTGTTTTAATTATATTAATTTAGTGTGGGTGTAGGATGTGAGAGGAAGAAACACAGGCATTTTAGAAGGGAGTCTGTGTGTGGTGGAATCTGCTTTCCATGTGTTGTCAGTCCTGCAGACTGATGTAATTAGACTCATGGAGCTCAGCTTTACTTCTTATTCTCCAACTGACTTTTTAAGTGGCCTGAGACCAGCTGCCCCTGGGCACTCCCTAGAATATCTGTGTAATGCCATTCCCTCTTGCAGGTGACGGGGACAGAGGACTAGTTACCGGCGTTGTGTAAGAGTTAGTTACCAGTATCACCTCCTTGTATTTTCTTGTTGCAGTTGTCCCAAGTACAGCCACTGTTGTGATTGTAGTTTGTGTCAGTTTCCTGGTTTTTATGATTATTCTGGGAGTGTTCCGAATCCGAGCTGCACATCAGAGAACGATGCGTGACCAGGACACTGGGAAGGAAAATGAGATGGACTGGGATGACTCTGCTTTGACCATCACTGTGAACCCCATGGAGGTAAAGCACTTCACCAAAAAATGCCCTTTTCCAGCTCCGGTGAGTCTGATTGTACATGGCCAGGGCAGTAGAGCAAAACCGAGCACAGAACACAGAGCAGAGATGATAACTGTGGATTTTTAATGGATGTGCCAAAGTGACAAATCCCAGGAGCGGTGACGTTTGGGATCTTGTGTGGGTTGGAGCTTCATGATGCGTGACTGGGTTTTACAGGTCAGTGTCCAGCAGGTGTTTGTCGTGCTGAGGCTGCCTCAGCCACGGGCAGCTTTTCCCCAAAGTTGTAAGAAATAATTTATTGTTGAAACATCTGCGTTTGTGGTGGTTCCTTCTGCTGTGGTTGACAGCTGAATTTTTTAGAAAATCAGGAACAAGATGTGCAGCCTCAGTGCTATTTGTGTGACTCTGCTGCAAGATCCTTTTCCAGTAGAATTTGAAATACTGGACCAGACTTGAGAATTAGTTTGTTTAGGATCGTGAGTGGTGTTACAAAGCCATTTTAAGGAGTGCTGCTTCTCTGCTGCCTAATTACTTGCTGCCTAATCTCTGCTGCTTCTCTGGTTGCTTAATTACTGCTCAACATCTGAAGCTGTTAAGGAACCTGTAACAGCTCTTCCTCAATATAGTGCCTTGTTCCTGAATTCAAAAGAATATTGTCCGTTGTGATACCAACAGCTAATTTCTGTCTTAACAGACTTACGAGGATCAACACAGCAGTTTACAGTGTATACTGTTAATTTTGGCTGGCTCTTATTACAGTATTACAGTGTATACTGTTAATTTTGGCTGGCTGTTATTACAGTATTACAGTATATACTGTTAATTTATACTGTTAAAATGGCTGGCTACCAAATTTGAAAGTAAACTGGCTTTATCTGTTTTATTCTGAAATCCTGGTGTCTGTACACAAACTTGCCAGACTTAACTCAAAGAAATTTGAGAGCTGTGACAAGGAATTGTACGTGAGGAGCTACTGGTTGAGATGATTGTCCCCTGAGACAAGCCCTTGCTGTGTTGAAGGAGAAGTGGATGCCTGCTCTGGAAAACAGATTATTTTTTTTATTTTATTTTTTCTTTGTCTGTCTTTTTATCTCCCCAGAAGTAAGTAGTTGCATTTCTGGAGGTTAACATTTTGGCTTTGTCCCCAGGTGAACGTTATCCACACGGCTAACCCTGTTGAACACGCCAATCACATCGCTGCGCAGCCACAGTTTGTTCACCCAGTGCATCACACCTTTGTTGATCTCTCTGGCCACAACCTGGCCAACCCTCACCCCTTTTCAGGTAAGAATTCTCAGTCCATGAGGTTCGGTTGTTTTTTTTTCTTCTGGTGTTAAACTATCATGGGGGCTTCTTGCTGCAGAGAGGTTTTTCCCCCGAGTTTGAAGCAGTGACTTGGTCTGGTTCTGCTGTTGCCCGGGGAGGGAGGAGTGAATCTCTAGAGACGTATGAAATACCTTTTCCTCCAGCAGGAGAGCTCTCTGCTGGTGTGTGCGTCGGAAATGGGGAGGTGTGCGAGGGCTGGAGGGGACTCTAAGTCCCAGATAAAGAACGTGAGGAACTGGGACAGCATTTCTTCTGAATGGCATGAGGGAAGAACTGCAGCGTTATTCCCTTGATGAGTTGTGTTATCTGTCCTTTCTGTTTTAATTATATTAATTTAGTGTGGGTGTAGGATGTGAGAGGAAGAAACACAGGCATTTTAGAAGGGAGTCTGTGTGTGGTGGAATCTACTTTCCATGTGTTGTCAGTCCTGCAGACTGATGTAATTAGACTCATGGAGCTCAGCTTTACTTCTTATTCTCCAACTGACTTTTTAAGTGGCCTGAGACCAGCTGCCCCTGGGCACTCCCTAGAATATCTGTGTAATGCCATTCCCTCTTGCAGGTGACGGGGACAGAGGACTAGTTACCGGCGTTGTGTAAAAGTTAGTTACCAGTATCACCTCCTTGTATTTTCTTGTTGCAGTTGTCCCAAGTACAGCCACTGTTGTGATTGTAGTTTGTGTCAGTTTCCTGGTTTTTATGATTATTCTGGGAGTGTTCCGAATCCGAGCTGCACATCAGAGAACGATGCGTGACCAGGACACTGGGAAGGAGAATGAGATGGACTGGGATGACTCTGCTTTGACCATCACTGTGAACCCCATGGAGGTAAAGCACTTCACCAAAAAATGCCCTTTTCCAGCTCCGGTGAGTCTGATTGTACATGGCCAGGGCAGTAGAGCAAAACCGAGCACAGAACACAGAGCAGAGATGATAACTGTGGATTTTTAATGGATGTGCCAAAGTGACAAATCCCAGGAGCGGTGACATTTGGGATCTTGTGTGGGTTGGAGCTTCGTGATGCGTGACTGGGTTTTACAGGTCAGTGTCCAGCAGGTGTTTGTCGTGCTGAGGCTGCCTCAGCCACGGGCAGCTTTTCCCCAAAGTTGTAAGAAATAATTTATTGTTGAAACATCTGCGTTTGTGGTGGTTCCTTCTGCTGTGGTTGACAGCTGAATTTTTTAGAAAATCAGGAACAAGATGTGCAGCCTCAGTGCTATTTGTGTGACTCTGCTGCAAGATCCTTTTCCAGTAGAATTTGAAATACTGGACCAGACTTGAGAATTAGTTTGTTTAGGATCGTGAGTGGTGTTACAAAGCCATTTTAAGGAGTGCTGCTTCTCTGCTGCCTAATTACTTGCTGCCTAATCTCTGCTGCTTCTCTGGTTGCTTAATTACTGCTCAACATCTGAAGCTGTTAAGGAACCTGTAACAGCTCTTCCTCAATATAGTGCCTTGTTCCTGAATTCAAAAGAATATTGTCCGTTGTGATACCAACAGCTAATTTCTGTCTTAACAGACTTACGAGGATCAACACAGCAGTGAAGAGGAAGAGGAGGAGGAGGAGGAAGAAAGTGAAGACGGAGAAGAAGATGACATCACTAGTGCAGAGTCTGAAAGCAGTGAGGAGGAGGAGGGAGAGCAGGAGGAGGACCAACAGAATGTCAATAGACAGCAACAGCTGGAATGGGATGACTCTACCCTCAGTTATTGATTCTAGCTGTTCCCTTTGTCTTTCTGTCTCTGCTCTAGAAGACGCCACTGTAACACACTCCATTGTACCAAGGATTCATGGTGTTTAACAAAACAAAAAAAAAAACAAAACAAAAAAAATACACAAAAAAAAAATCATTCTGGCCAGTAGGTTCAACCCCGACACATCCCAGTGTTTGTGTTCCATCAGCTTGTCCCGCTGCTGTTCCTAGGGTTGTAGGTAGCGCCTCTTCCTTCAGCCACGCCTCAGTGACTGGAGGTTTTTTTACGCTTTGTGAGGAACCACCTTGCACTTTTATCTTCGTGTCATCTCAGCTGAGTGACTCTACGGTTCTGTAGCCATTGCACATGAATTTCTGAACTGTCGTCTTTATTTTTTATTATTTTTTTTGGCTCAGTGAAACAAACTTGGCTTCGTTCCTTTTACTCTTCCTAAAAGATGCAAAGATTGCTTGTTGACAAAGGGTAAAGCTGCTCATTTCAGCCTGTTGATTTCTTTTAATTTTTTCCCCCCGAATTAGTGCATGTGTAAAGTGGCAGAATGAGGTTAATATGTAGAAGATTAACAGACTTTTTAATATTTTGTAAATATATCGGAATTATGTAATTATGTCATTTGTGGTAGTGAAAACAGGGATTGGGGTTTAAAACATGCTAAAGTTAAAAATCATGCAGCATGAACTATTCCGAGTCTCATAGCACTGCAGCAGGAGCACGGGCACAGCTCTAGTGTAGATGTTTCAGTCACAGTGTCGTTGGCCTGGGCTGCAGCCTCGCTCATGCCCCGCTCTGCTCCTTCTTTCATTTTCCTTTCCTTTTCTTTAATCTCCTTTCTTTTTGCAGAGGGAACAGACGAGCTTGTGAGACATTGTAAAGGCTTTAGGAACCTCTGCGGGTGTTCAGCTGCCCTGTGCAATACAGTTGTTTGTTTTTCTTTTTCTTTTTTTTTCTTTCTCTCCAATTAAGTCTTGGCGTAAGGGCTTTTTTAAGTTATTAGGGAAAAAACACTACTGTGGTGGTGGGCAAACAGCGTGCTGTCGCTGGGGTGTGTGTCACAGCTCCCATGAAGGACGGTGAGGCTGCCTGGAGCACAGCCATGGGGGTGGGTCACTCATTGAGTTGATTGGTAACCTTGCTAATTGCAGCTGGGGAGCCCTGTGTACCTGTGCACTCTGCCTACCAGGCTGCAGAGAGAGGGGGTTTGGGGGTTGGTTTTTTTTTTTCAGCTGTTTAGTTTTTCTAATCCAGTCGTGGGGGGTTTTGGGGCACGGCTGATTTAATTTCTCTCAGACACACTCCTGCTCGTTCCCTGTAGCCCCTTGTACAGTAACTCGGACTGTTGGTGTATCAAGCCTTTGTTTACACTTAGTAATTGTGTTTTCCTGCTGGTGAACAACTATAGCATCAATTAGCCAACCAGAAAACCTTGGGAATCATGGTAATACTACTCCAAGTCCAGGTGATTTTGGTTGTTTGTGATCCAGGTTCTAACTTGGAATTGCAAAGGACTTTTCTAAAGAAATAGCTGAGAGGTACGAGAAGGACGTTATGACCCTGTGGTGGAGAGGGCTGGTTTTGGTAAGACAGGTCTCGGGTCTTTAACTTTATTTGGTTTTGTGCAGAGCCTTGAATAATGAATATCTGCTGACTTATAGCTGAGAGGTACGAGAAGGACGTTATGACCCTGTGGTGGAGAGGGCTGGTTTTGGTAAGACAGGTCTCGGTTCTCTAACTTGAATAATGAATATCTGCTGACTTGGTTATTGGACATTTGGAGGTGGATTAAAAAGAGTAACTTGTTTTGCTTGTGACAGGAGAGTAGGACTCGGCTCCCCCTGGGCACGGTAAGCAAAGCTCCGGCTGTTGCTCTGTTCTGGGGGCACAGCCCACGGGGCTCACGCGGGCACGGGGACGTGTTGCACGGGGTAAGTGTGCGAGAGGGGCACGAAGGGTCATAATTCAAAGAGATACAAGATAAGGATGGATCCGAGTGTTGCTGTAGTTCGGGTGTTCGGAGCAGACTGTTCTCACCTGGCGCTGTGTGTCCTAACGGCGGGTGCTGCCGGGGTGAGGCCCGGCTGCGGAGTGCCTTTCACAGGAGTGATGGAGCTGGGGGCAGGGAAGGGAACCCACACAACTCGCTTACCCTTTTGGGGGTTGTTTTGTTGTTGTTTTTTTTTTAATGTAAAATTTTAGATTTCTAAAATGGGGAAATGGTTTTGACTACTTACGTGGTAATATAACTGCTAGTTTTAAGTAAACTGGGAAACTTTTAACTTATGTCTGACAGTTGTCCTGTGTTAATGTGTAGAAGACTTACCCTTCCATATACTGTTGCTGTAGCTGCTGTAATTTAGACCAAAACTGATCATGACTTAATGGTAATACTGAAAGGTTGTAAATGTCCTGATGCAGTTTGTAGCCACTATGGGTATAACTTTTCAGATGTGTATATTGGTAACAGGTCAGTTTGGAAAGTCTATAAGCTACAATAAATTTCTGGTTCTAAAGTTTGTTGGCATTTATTTCTTACTGAATAGAACAAAGTGGAATCGAGTTCTATTAATTGTGTGTTAATTTGCCTCTGATGGGGCAGTTGAAGAGTTGTGGTTTGTTTTTGTTGATCTCAAGGAAGACTGTGGCAGCACCTGTGTGTACAGTTCCTCAATCATTTGGTTTATTTTTTGACTTACAAAACGCGTACCTAAATCAACTGAGAAGTTCCACATGTAAACATTCTCTTCTGACAGAACCATGGTTTGGCTTAAAAAAATACTTCTTTTTCAAAGGCAACAGAATAAGCACAATCGGTTTGTACAGAGTTAAAAAAAATAATCACAGAAACATCTCTAAATAAATAGAACTAGAAGGGGATACCGCTTTGAGCAGACTTATAAAATCAGAAGCTACTTATTTATAGTGAAATGTAATATTTTTGAAGGTGATTTAAGTTTCAATCTTCAGTACAATTCAACTCGCTGGAAACTCTCAGGTGAGCTGCTGCCTGGGACGTTTGGAGTCAGGGGCTCTTTGCCGACCCGATGGCGCCGTTGGAGTCTGGCTGGAGGGCGTGCGAGGAAGGAGATCCACTTTGGGTCATTGGTGTTTTCACTTCTGGCGGGTAAGTCCATGTTCCAGGCTCAGGAACCTCTTTGTAAAACTGCGCTGGGATGAGGAACACCTTGGGGATTGCGCAGTTCTCGCAGTTTACACTGACACGACTTTATTTTATTGCACTTCTGAGACTGAAGGACGGGTGACAGGAGCCACTGCTGCTCTGTACCGCTGTACAACTGTACTAGGGCCCGGGTGTTCTGGAGGCCCTCCCAGAGCACCAGCTGATGGTAAGAAGGTAAGAAGGAGCCTGGGGTATCCCTTTGTGGCAACACAGGGGAATTGCTCTAACACTTACGGAATTGTACGTTTCTTCCACAAGGACGTACAAACCACCACGGAGGGGGTTCTGGTGTCAGTGCATCTCGGCTTCCATCTGCCCTGATATGTTTATGTACTTTTGGTCGGTAAATTGGTTCTCTAAGGAAGGAAATGGCGATACTTAGCTGTTCTCTAAAATGGAGCAAAGTTGTGCGGGCACAGGAGCTCTGCCAGCAGAGGCTGGAGGTGGCACCTCAAGGGAGGGAACACAAGCTTGAAATGTCTGCCTCTCCCCCCTGGGGAGCAGGGATTTGTATGGGTGCTGTATGGTTCTCTCATTGATCAGCATCCAAAGAGCTCTAAATCCTGTGTTATTTTCCTCTAATATCAAAATTACTATTAGAGTGAGTGTTGGGCTTCTGTTTTCCTTTTGCATTTCATTTTTAGCATTTCGGGAGGATCCCTGCCAACCTTCCTTTATTCCAGGATTGTGGTAAATTATCTCTATATTTCACTAACCTTGGGTGCTTGGTCTCCACAAATCTGGCTCTTCAAAAAAAAAGGTGAAGAATTACAAAAGGAGCCCACCAGAGTCACCCGATGGCGCGTGGAGCAGCAGCGCCGTGGGGGGGAGAACCGGCTCCTTATGGTAACGGAGGTTTTATTTAATTGGATGTAAGAGATACCAGCATCTTTCTATTCCTAATTTAAAGTGACAGCCAGCACCCTTCCTTACCCTGTGACGCTCTGTAATCTGCTACAGGAAAGGAAAATTACACTTAAAATACTTAAAACAGCTTAAAAAAATACACCTGATGGTTTGCTCTCATAATTTGATGACTAATTCAGTTTCAAAATATTGTAATTGCATATTCATAATACGGTATTTACAATTGCAAATACAAATTCACTGTTTTAAGATTAATTTTAAAGCTGAGACCACTATCTGCTGTTCAGTTCAAGAAAACAGGAATATTTTAGACTCAGGGGAGCCATATCAGTGAAAGCAATTTATAGTGTATTGAGGAGAGCTCGTCTTCCAGAGAGGACAGTGCTCAAAGGCCACAGGGAGTTTCTTTTGGTCTAATCTCTAGAAGCAGCAGTGGCTCTAAAACCAGTTACTTGCTGCCAACACACTTTCAGTATTACTTACTGTTAAACAATAAGCTGAAGACCTGTTAGAGGAATGTATCAATAAACAATTTGGGTGACATGAAAGGGTACTTGCCATTCTGTCCTGACATGTTCTGGCCACTTCCGTTGCTGAAAAGTGTAGAAAAAGGGGATCTCCAAGGGTTATATACAGTTAAAATAAGTTGTCTTCTGTAACTGCTCCTGTACAACAGGTGCTGTGAAAGCAATTTATAGTGTATTGAGGAGAGCTCGTCTTCCAGAGAGGACAGTGCTCAAAGGCCACAGGGAGTTTCTTTTGGTCTAATCTCTAGAAGCAGCAGTGGCTCTAAAACCAGTTACTTGCTGCCAACACACTTTCAGTATTACTTACTGTTAAACAATAAGCTGAAGACCTGTTAGAGGAATGTATCAATAAACAATTTGGGTGACATGAAAGGGTACTTGCCATTCTGTCCTGACATGTTCTGGCCACTTCCGTTGCTGAAAAGTGTAGAAAAAGGGGATCTCCAAGGGTTATATACAGTTAAAATAAGTTGTCTTCTGTAACTGCTCCTGTACAACAGGTGCTCTGAGAGACAACCTGGTTTATATCAATAT